ACTGTATCGATGTAAGGCTCCATTCATTTGTGTGTGTGTGTGGGAAGGGACAGAGTTTTGCTCTGTCACCCAGGCTGGAGTGGAGTGGTGTGATCTTGGCTCACTGCAACCTCCACCTCCCAGGTTTAAGCGATTCTCCTTCCTCTCCCAAGAAGCTGGAACTACAGGTTCCACCACACCCAGCTAATATTTATAATTTTAGTAGGGATGGGGTTTCACCACATTAGTCAGGCTGGTCTCGAACTCCTGACCTCAAGTGATCCACCTACCTTGGCCTCCCTAAGTGCTGAGATTACAGGCGTGAGCTACTGCGCCTGGTCTCCATTCATTTTTTTGAAAAACAATTGACATAATTCACCAAATGCTAAAGAATAAAAATCATGTGATTTTTATTAGAAAAAAGTATTGTCAAAATTTAACTGCCATTTATTAAAAACAAACACAAACTCTCAGAAAATCAATAATAGAGAGGAACCACTTTAACCTGATAAGGAGCATCCACACAACACTTACACTAACAGTATACTTAATAGTAAAAGACTGAATACTTTCTTCCTAAGATCAGGAACAAGGCAAAATGTCCTCACTTACCCTTCTCATTAAATATAGTACTGACGGTTATTGCAATAAGACAAGAAAATAAAAGGAAAGGTATGCGGATCAGAAAGGGACAAATAAAACTCTCCCCATTTCCAGGTGACATGACAAAATACCTAGAAAATCCCAAGAAATCTACAAAATTAAAGACAGAAACAAAATTTCCTGCAACTGAGTTTAAGAAGGTTGTAAAAAATGAGAAAATTATATAGAAATTAGTTATATTTCTATATACTAGTAATAAGAATGTGGAAACTCAAATTGGTATATAGTTAAAATGTCTGTATGACATTTCATAGACATAGGCAAGATTATTCAGAAAATTTTATGGAAATACAAAGGAAGTAGAAGAGAAAATGATTGTGAAAAAAAGAAGAAAGTGGGAGAAAACCCTCTATCTCATTTTAAGACTTGTTTTTTAGCTGCAGTATAATGAAGACTGTGTGATATTTGGAGAAGGATAGGCATGTAGATTAATGAAATAGAATAGAGATCCCAGAAATAGTCCCACACAAGTACAGCCAAATGATTTTGGACAAATATGCAAAAGCAATTCAATGGAACAAACAGGCTGGAACATTTGTATATTCGTAGGCAAACTTATGAACTTAACCTGATTTTATAACTTATACAAAAATTAATTCAACATTGATCATAGACTAAATGTAAAACATAAAACTATACAATTTTATGAAGAAAAAATGGATCAAACTGTTTGGAAATTAGGTCTTGGTGAAGAGTTTGTAGTCATGTCATATCTGCAAACAAAAACAGTAACGAAAAGCAGTGATAAATTGGAGTTTATCAAATGTAAGAATTCTTGTTCTGTGAAAGATCCTATTATGATGATGAGCAGACAGGCTACAGACTGGGATAAATATTTGCATATCCTATATCAGACAAAGGACTTGTATCTGTGATTTATAAAGAACCCATACAATTTAAATATTTTACACAAAAAATCTGCCCAATTAGAAAGTGGGCAAAATACATGGTGAGATCTTTCACTAAAGAGGAAATATGATGGCAAATAAACATATGAAAAGAACTTCAATATCACTAGCCACTAAGAAATGCAAAATAAGATCTAAGTAGATATCAGTATATGCCTATTAGAAGAGCTAAAATATAAAATAGTGACAATACAACTTACTGGTAAGGGTGCAAAGAAACTAGATATCTCATACATTGCTGGTGAAATATAAAATGATACAGTCATTCTGGAAAACTGTTGGGCAGTTTCTTAAAAACCTAAATTGTAATTTTCATGTCAGTTGGGTAATCATATTCTTGGGGATGTATCCAGCAGAAATGTAAACGTATATTCACCTGCAAAACCTAAACACAGATATTCATAGCAGCTTTATTTGTAGTAGCCAAAACTGGAAATAACCTAAATGTCCTATAGCAGGTGAATAAAGTGTGGCACAATCTTATCATGTAAAACTACTCATCAGTAAAAAGGAATGAACTATTAATAAACACAACTTGGATAGATCTCCAGGACATTATGCTAAGTGGAAAAAAAAATCTTAAAGGAACACATATGTTATGATTCCATTTTTATGACACTCCTGAAATGACAGTATACAGATGGAGAACAAATTAATGATTTCTAGGGACTTGGATGTTGAGGGGAAGGAAAATGGACATAAATTTAAAAAGGTGGTATGAGGGAGATCTTTGTGGATGAAATAGCTCTATGCCTTGACAGGGCTGAGTCTTACCCAAACTTACCAATGTGACAAAATTACTTTCAACTATACAGACACATTACTCGTGTCAACTTCCTGATTATTATGTTTTACTATGGTTATGTAAGATGAAAATAACCATTGGAGGAGACTGGGTAGGGGTTACATGGGATCTCTGTGTATTATTTTGGCAAATTCCTGTGAAGCTATAGTTATTGCAAAATAAAAAGTTAAAAAAAGTGAATACAACTTATTTCACTTTCCTCAATGCTAAATTATATTTTTTCTGACACTCAAATGCAATGAAAACAGGCTCTACACATTGCGGTCTTTTTTTTTTTTTTTTTTTTTTAACCCCATCTATGGACAGGAGGCAGGCAATTTTCAAAAAAAATAAGTATTATAGCATATTCATTCAACTATTGGATTGAGGCAGAATTGACTAGAAATCAATGGATTTTGTCCAGCAACAAATTTATAGATATTATGAATGTTTAGGCTTTTACAAGACAGAAGAATATGTAGGAATTCTAGGTTCATTATTTCAAAATTATTTTATACTTTGAAAGGGTCTTCTGTACTTTCATGATTGCTTAAATATTTAAAGAGCTATTCTAGTTTTACCTCTGATTTACAATTAGTATGAGTCCATCATTGGACATTGTTACAATCTTTTTGGAAATCAGAAAATGCATGTGAATTAAACATGTATGACATTATTAACATACTTATTATATGATTACTCGATAGTAACAAACATTAATTTTAAAAAGCCAAAATTTATTGAGAACTTCCCTTGTATTATTTAATCTCACTATATGGATGTTATGGTTTGGAGAGGTTAACTTGCTGAAGTTTACAAATGTAATCAGTTTTACATATGTATTTAATGGGTTTTATATAATTGAAGAAAAAAGTTATGAGGCAAACTGAAACTATATAAATTGTTTTATTGTTATATCTCCTATGTTTTGGAGCTGGGATTCTGAACACAGGTAATCTGATTCTAAAGCTCCTTATTCACTGTTTAATATTTCTTTAAGAATGCTGTTTTAAGAATTGTGTCTGAAAGTACATCAAGGATTCTCGTTTTGCCTAAGACTAAGCTTAGTAAGAAATGAGACAATGACATACTCAGCAAAATAGTTATTTTATTTTACATTCTGCAAAGTGAAGTTATAACGATGTCTTTTGATTGGAAATCAGAGCAAAGATTTTTCCTAAAGGGAGAGATTGTAAAGTGACTAGCCTGGTTGCTTTTGAATATATGGTTTTCTTCTATCCTTCTGTAAGCAAAACAACTAACATTTCTCTAGGATAATTGGAAAAACTTATCAGGAGTCAATATAAATGAAGCTATAATAAATTTATTTATTGTCTTAGTAGAAATATAGCTGCACAGTGTATTTTTAGAGGCCACTATTTCAGAGTTAAGTGATCAAGATGCTTGTTAACTTCATTTGCTATCTGTTGTATTTAGACAAGCTAGTGGAATTCATTCAAGGTCCACAAGTAGATATAATCACATATAAGTGGATTCTAATTATAACTGTATTTTAGGCCTGTATTTACTCACAGATTCTCAGTCTTCTCACTCCCTCCCCCACCCCCGTTTCAGTATTACATTAGTACAATAGATTGCATTATCTTGTAATTTATATTAAATATAGTAGTATGAAAATTGTATGTTTTCAAAATTATCTTTCATTCTCTTTTAAAGAACACAGAGAAATTACTGCCTTTTGGCACATTCTGTTACTTTACTTTTGTAGCACTGGGTATATTTCCAAGGTTCTCTTTGAGTATGTTTTAAATATGTCTGTCGCACATTTTATCTGCTATTTTGAAAACGGATTTGCCCAGCATTATTTGGGCGTAATGAGATACTGATTGTGATTTTTCCAAGAATAAGGTAAGTGAATTCCAATCTGGACATGAATTTCCAATCATTTCTGTTAGTTGCTGTCTCTCCGTATCTGCCTGTCACTAGAGACTGCTGAGAAGTGATTGAGTGTTATCTCAGGTCTGTGTCCTGTGTTGTGTGGACCATCATGTAACCTGAGGAACTGGGAATCTACCATACACAGAGGGAGGCATCCCTATTGTGTTAATTATAAGTGGTTTATGTGTATTTTTATACATGTATGGCTTTTTTTGGAGGGGTTATAAATTCAAATTCTTAAGAATCCTGATGGTATATTTTCCAAGGTATTCCCTTTAATGATTTCAAATAATTGTTGAAGGGCATAAAATAGCTGATTAATTCTGCCCTTCCTGTTGGTCCTGTTCAGGATGCAGCATCATAAAAAGATTAGACCTCCTTGTTATTTCTCAGTAATGTAGTAGTTCTTAACCATTTCTTGTATCTGATTTTTTTTTATGATTTGAGAAAGCTACCTCCCAAATACTACTTCTCTCTGAAGCTCACTGTCTGTCTTCACGGCACAGACAAACACACCCTGCGCCACAGACACATTTACAGATACATAGGACACATACATGGACACACATGCCTATGTATACATATATATATATATATATATATATATATATATATATATACCTACAGTTTTGCATATGATTTAACATGGTTCCAGATTAAATGTTTCTGCATAGAGATTACAGAGTTTTTGTTACTAAAATGTAAAAGTTCCCTTTGCTCCACCTGCACTATTAATAACAACATTATATCTTCCCTGGTACTGTTAGCAGAGCCTGAGCAGCAGAGAGACCAGCTTTCTCATCAATGAAGAAACAACGGTAAGCAACAACCAGTACTATCCTTTCTTGCATGGACACAGATGGGGCATTTTTTGTAGTCTGCAATGGTGATGCTCTTTTCCAGTTCAGTTATTTGACATGCTCTCATACACGGTATTTGATAATGTATTACTTTAGGAAAAAAAATCAGTTTCTTTGAGGGGGGAAACACATCAGATGTATCAATAAGAATGACACGCTAAGTATAACACTTTGCTTGGATTTTATTTTTTCTATGAGAAAATGAAGAGTCTAAGAGGTGTAATGGCTTGACCAATGTTATCAATATGTTTAAGAGGCTGATGCTTGACTAGCACTCAAGTTTCTGAGGCTTAGTTCAGTATTCTTTCTCTATTGCATCACTCTTCTTGTCTCTAAGTACATGCCTGCAGATAATCATGAAAAATTACAATTCATTTAAAAATCAAACTTAAATGTCAATTAAAAGGCTGGTAAAGGGACCCGAACATTTTCATTAGTTGCCTAGTAAGTACAAAATTCCATTTGGGAAGATAGGGAAATAGAGTTATATTCTTATACTGATAATTTTAGCAAGGATGATAGTTTGCTTTTCACTAGGGTACTAATCTTTAGTGTTCTGGAATGAGGATTGTGATATTGATCAAATTAAAACAATTGAAATGTTGTTGGTTTGTTTTCTTTTTAAATTTATTTTTACTTTTTTTTTTTTTTTTTTTTTAACTACATAAAGCATTTTTACATGATTCCAAAGTTGAAATCTACAGATCAGATAACATTTAGGTGAGCCTAAAGCTTATACAATTTTGGTATCACTCTTTAAGAAACATATGGAAAAATATTTTACTTTAAAGCATTTACGAAAATATTTTACCATGAGAACACATTGTTAGAGTCCTTCCTAAACCCTTGGAAGGGGCAGATGCAAGTAAGATGCCCTGAAGATCATACTTTATTAGCTTGAAGGTAAATCTATCTTAGGTTAAAAATATGAAACAAAGTGTTTTCAGAGAAATCTTTCTTCTTTGTCCTCTCAGTCTTTTTATATAATAGTTACCATTTTTGTTTGGTTTATTTTTCCAATGCTATTACAAATGTTGCTAAAATGAATACTCTTGGGAATTAGTCTTATAATATTTTGGTCATTTTATTTTTCTACATGGAATTCATTTATCAGAGAATAAAGGTATATGTAATTTGTAATTTTCATGTATGTTGCCAAATTCCCCTGCCTTTTGTGTTTGTAACAAACCTATGAGAGTGCCTGTTTCCCACAACCCTATCAGCAGTGTGTTGTTACACTTCTAGATTCTTGCCTGTCTCATGGTAGTGAGATAGATAATGGCTATTGGGAGCTATTTCACTTAGCACAGTTCTTAGTATCATTTAAAATTGCATTTCTCACAACATATATGAGATATTCATCTTTTTCTGCATTGAGTGGTCATTTAAATTTATTTTGCTAGATCACTCTGTTCATATATCTTGTCCATTTGCTGTCAGAGTTTTCTTTTTACTCTTGATTTTTTTGGAGCTCTTTACATATTTATTGTTATCTCCTTGCCTGTGACAGAAGTTGCAGATACTTTCCCCAAATATGTTAAATACATATAATTTAATTTTTTAATTCTAAATGACTTTAAAATGATGTATGGTATTTGATTCACTAAGGTTGACATTGTCTTTGATTAAATAGTAATTTGTTTAACATTAGGCTTCTTTTTAAAAATATACTTTGTTTTAATATTGTTTTATATTTTATTATAAAGAAAATCTAAACAGAGTTTCTTATACCCCACACTCATTTTCTCCTATTATTAGAATCTTACATTAGTATGGTACATTTGTAACAATAAACCTATATTGGTGCATTATTATCAAATAAAGTTCATGCTTTATCCAGATTTCCTTAGTTTTCCCCTAAGATCCTTTTCCTATTCCAATATCTCATTGAGGATGCAGCATTGCATTTAGTAGTCATGTCTCCTCAGGCTCCTCTTGGTTGTGACAGTTTCATGTACTTTTGGTTTTTATATCCTTCACAGCTTTGACAAGGAGTACTGGTCAGGTATTTTGTAGAATGTCCTTCAATTGGGACTTTCCTGATTTTTTTTTTTTTTTTTTTTATGATTAGACTTGGATTATGTGTTTTTGGAGGAAGGTAATAGAAGTGTCGTTCTCTTCATGTCATATCAAGGGTATATTCTATCAACATGACTTAATCACCCTTAATGTTTTAACCTTGATTACCTGGCTTGAAGTAACGTTTAACAGATTTCTTCACTGTAAAGTTACTCTTTTGTTTTTTTCTCCCTTTCCATACTGCATTCTTCGGATGAAAGTCACTATTTGCAGCCTACACAAAAGGATTGGGATTATGCTCTCCCTCCTTATAGGTGAATCCATTATTTGGAATTGTTTTTTGTGTGTGGGAGATCTTTCTTCCTTTCTTTTTGTCAGTATGTACTTCTGGATATTTATTTTATGCTTTATGTTATAAACCAGTTATAAACCAAATACTACTTTATTTTCTTGCTCAAATTGTTCTAGCTTTGTCTATTGGAAGTTTTTTTTTGTGACAACGTCTTGCTCTGTTGCCCAGATGGAGTCCAGTGGCATGATCATAGCTCACTGTGGCCTTAGACTCCTGGGCTCAAGTAATCCTCTCACCTTGGCCTCCCTGAGATTACAGGAGTATACCACCACACCCAGCTAATAATAATAATAATAATAACCACACCCAGCTAATAATAATAATAATAATTATTATTATTATTGTTATTATTATTTTGAAAATTGGATCTCACTGTGTTGGTCACGCTGCTCTCAAATTTCTGGGCTCGAGCAGTCTTCCCATCTCAGCTTTCTGAGTGGTTGGAAATACAAGACATAAGCCATATCACTTGGCCAGGAGCTTTTCAGTTGACTCCTGTATTCCCTTGGCATACCCCTATTGTTGTGCTTAGTTTTGTTTTGAGTATTTTCCTACTTTCTGACAAGATGCTCCAAGCTCATCTGGTACATTTCCTGCCTCAGTCCTAGAATCAACTGTGTGCCCAAGGAATGTTTTTTTTTTTTTTTCTTTTCTATCATAGAAATATCACAAAAGAAAAATCTGTATAAATCAGGGTCCTGTTAGGCCTACTCAGTGTAGGATAATTTAAGAAGGACTTCATAAAGACTTTTACAAAAATGGAGTATAAGGGAATCTCTGTATATATAGGTCTAGTACTCTTGAATTTATTAAAATCCATAGAACTGAAGGGAATAGTGTAAGGAGCACTTATTGGAACCCAAAAGGAAAAAGTCATATACCAAAGACATTATCAGGGGGCACAATGACCTTTAGTGAGGGGACACAGCCTTCCTGAATTCAACCTTAGGAAGGAAAACACTATCTATTCTTTCCATTCATTCATGAGAAGCAAGAGGTCAAGGGAGCTCTTTGGTTACCTGCACAGGACAAAAGCAGGGTGGAGAGGAGTGGAGAGTGAATGTGCTTGGATAAACCAACGGAATATCACTGGATATGTTTTTGGGTAAAAAAATAGAGTCTTGCGGTTTCTACTGTGATTATTATGACAGAAACTCAATATCAATTATTTTATAAATATAGAATAATTAATGTAATTTAAAATTCTATTTGAAATAAAATAGTGAAAAGTGGATGAGTACCTAAATAGTTACACAGATTGTGAGTATAGAAAGGTCAGTAAAGCCACTGAATGAAATATAGCAAGATGGAAACTATTATGCTTAAGATAACCTATCTTAAAGTGACTACTATACGGGACTGGACAGAATAGTTAGGTAAGTATTTAGAGTTTAGTAAGCAAAGAATGGGAATTGAAAAGATACACTAAAGTTTGCTTAAATAATGACAGATATGCAATTAGCAGATTTTGGAGTATGGGCCTTGTTAACCTCAAGGATGATATTCCAAATATTTAATAACTGATATGGCATAGGCACAAACCAATCAGAAGGGGCCTTTGAGTAAAATGACAGGAAGCAATTAGTATGAATATTAGCACAGTATTTATAATTGATATGTAAATATATTTAGATATTATCACCTTATGATACAGTCATTAATTCAGTCTCCTAGTGATTTCATCCAGTTTCATGGCTTTAAATACAATTGATATGCCATCACAATTCTCAAATTTAAGTTTCGAGTGTAGTCATTTCTCCTCAACTTCAGTTTTAAATATCCAAATGCTTTCTTATTATATGCATGTGGATGTCTGAAAGATATCTCAAGATTAATATGTCCAAAATGTAATTCTTGATCTTCCCCTACCAAAAAGCCTGTTTGTCTGAAGTCTTTTGCATCTCAGCAACAACACGCAATATATTCTTTTCATTGCTCAAGTCCGAAATTTAAAAAAAAAGGTTTTATCTTCATTGGTTCTACATTAGACACAATAAAATTCACCCTTTTTAAGTGTGTAGTTTGATGAGTTTTAACAAAATTTATGTAGAAGATTTCCTTTTCCTCAAAAAGTTCCCCTTAGCAGTTTTCCTCCTACCCTATTCTAGGCAAGTGCTGATTTTTTTTCTTCCTAATATAATATATAAATGGAATTTTACAGTATACACTAGTTTGTATCTGGCTTCTAGCTGCTTTTGCTCATCATAATGCTTCTAAGACTCATCCAAAACTCCAATATTACTAGTATATTGATTCTTTTTGAATATATCTGTACTGGAGATATCATTGTTTATTTTATTTTATGGCTCAGTAATATTTCATTTTATGGATATACTGAAATTTATTTGTCTACTCACCCATTGATGGATATTTGGATAGTTTTCAGTTTGAAGACCATAATGAATAAGGCTGTTATGAACATTCATGTAAGAAGTGTTTTTAGAGACATATGTTTTCATTAATCTTGGGTAATTTCCTAGGAGTAGAATTTCTGGGTCATGTGGAAAATATAGGTGTAACTTAATGTAAAACTGTCACACTATTTTTGAAAGTGGTTGTACCATATTTTATTCCTACCAGCAATGTATAAGAATTCTATTTGCTGTACATCTTCACCAGCATTTGATATTGATATTGATAGCTTTTTAATTTCAGTAATTCTAGTGGATGAGTAGTAATATCTTGTGATTTCAACTCTCATTTCTTTTATAAATAATGATGTTGCCCATCTTTTCATGGGCATATTGGACATTCATAGATCTTTTGTGAACCATTCAAATCTTTTCTGCATTAAAAAAAATTGAGTTGATTATCTTTGTATTGACTTGTAAGAGTTGTTTATGTATTCTGGATTGCGAGACCATTGTCAATCTTACTTATTGTGAACATTTTCTTCCAATTTGTTGCTTGCCTTTTCATTTACATGCAGTGTTCTTAGAAAAGCACATTTAGAAGTATAGAAGTTCAATTTCTCATATTTTATCTTTTATCATCCATGCTTTTTGTGTTCTATTTAAGAAATATTTGCCTACACCAAAGTGGGGGAGATTTTCTAAGATTTTCTTCAGTTTTATAGTTTTAGTTTTTATGTTTAGGTCTATGATCCATGGAAGTCACAATATGGCCCTGCATGGTCCTTTAGTGTGGGACTCTTTCATTTGTCTTAACAATTCTTTAATGAGTTTAGGGAAAGCATCTGAGAAAAATAGTAACCTGTGAATCTCGTGAAAGATGCCAAGAAAATAAAAATACTGAAGTGAAAAATTTCAGGCCGTCAAAATAATATAGTTTAAAATATATTTTATGCAATGACCAATGTTTGTCTTATATCTTTTGTATTTTTAAATAACAGCAATATTAACTCCTCTATCTACATATGGAAGGCATTAGTTTACAGGGCAGAAATTTTCACTCCAATAGTTTCACCAGTTGCTTAGACTTCTTCAGCCTATTCCAGTAAGAGACTAGGTTAAGAAATTGTATTGGATTATTTATCCATTCATTACAGTATAAAATACACTCAATTCTTGCTCATTTATGCTATAGGTTTGGTGCTCTTTCAAATATAGTTGAGTATCCCAGATATTTTTAGGTAATTGACCTTGTGTTTTAAATAATGACCATATAATTGAAGATTGGAGACAGCTCAGCATTTGAATAACTGAATGACTTTTTTTGTAATCTAGTATATTGCATGCTCATGAAATTTAAAAAAAAAAAACCCTGGGTAAACTTTCCATACTACACATCATCTCAGTATAAATGTAGTAATTTTACTTTCTTTTCCTGGTTATATACAGGTATACTTCACAAAATATCTATTTTACTCTATATTTTTATTATTTTCATGTTTTCCTTTATTATTGTTATTTTTCTCTTCCTTAATTATGTTCTTTGCAGGGACATGAATGAAACTGGAGGCCATTATCCTTAGCAAACTAACAGAAAAACAGAAAACCAAATACTGCATGTTCTCTTACTGATAAGTGGGAGCTAAATGATGAGCACACACGGACACATAGAAGGAAGCAACACACTGGGGTCTTTCGGAGGGTGGAGGATGGGAGGCGGGAGAGAAGCAGGAAAAATAACTACTGGGTACTATGCTTAATACCTGGGTGATGAAATAATCTGTAAAACCAACCCCCATGACACATATTTCCTTATGTAACAAATCTACACATCCTGCACATGTACCCCTGAACTTAAAAAAAAGTTGAAATAAATATAATAAAATATAAATCCACAAATATTTGTTATTTTTAGTTGCTATTTAAAGAATTTAGGAAAATTTACTTTGAAGTCTCCTTATTTTCTTTACATGTTAATTGCTTTCTTCCCATTTTTTTCTTCTTTTTTCCTTGCTAATTTCTATCCTCCAGTTTGAAATGTCATGCATACACACACACACACACACACACACACACATTTATAAAATGATCATATTGAGGGTTAGTTTGTCTGTGTCTGTTTTTGGAATCTTTACTGTAATTCTGGGCAGGAATTGCTAATTCTTTGTTGGTTGCTTCACAGCCTGCAAAGCGATTCAATTTGTTCCTGAGGCGGCGGCTTATGGTAAAACCAGTGCTGAATGATGCTGCTTATGCTCTGAATGGCTGCAGTGGTAGCCTTAGTTATTTTTCTTCCAATAGAATACTTTGATTTAGGGGAACGTTGTCATTGATTCCTAGTCCCCAGGCAACTGAAGTTTAAGAATAGTGATTCTTAATTTGTTTTGGATTAGATTCAATCTATAGATCCTCTTCCTAAAATGTATGCGCGCACACACACACACACACATAATTCATACAGTTTCAGAGGTTTATGAACTCTCATCAGCAATGCAGGGTTTTATTTTGTTTTGTTTTCAGATAGAGTCTCACTCTGTCGCCCAGGCTGGAGTGCAGTGGTGCAATTACGGCTCACTGCAGCCTCGACCTCCCGGGCTCATGTAATCCTCCCACCTCAGCCTCCTGAGTAACTGGGACCACAGGGGCATGCCACTATGCTCAGCTAATTTTTGTATTTTTAGGAGAGATGAGTGGTTTCACCATGTTGTCCAGGCTGGTCTCGAACTCCTGAGCTCGAACAATCATCTCGCCTCAGCTTCTCAAAGTGCTGGGATTACAGGCATGAACCACCACACCCAGCTGGTAATTCAGGTTTTTGAACCACAGGATAACTACATCCTTTACAGAGAAGTCACTCAGATGTTTACATAATTACAAATAGGTATTTCTAAGGACAAGCCAAGTATAAACACAAATGCCCACACATACTACAAAATGTATTTATATCATGTTTTGAGCAAAACAAAATCATGATGTGTTTTAGTAACATTCAGTTATATGTGACAGAATTATCAGATTTTTCTGCCTCAGCCTTAACTGATTTTTATTAGTAGTCCTGAGACATGTCCCTCATGGTGACTTATAAGGCTCCCAGTGATTTTTTTCCCATATTTAAAACAGATTTATAGTGTATCGTCAGGGTGTGATATTATGAGAGAAATTCGGGTTTTCCTAGCTAGCCTTTGGCCTTCAGGACGACAATATGTTTACCTATTTTTGACTGAGCACTCAGGAAAATCATTGGAGTTACTATTCTCTTAGCTACTTTGTCTATTTTCTAGTCAAATACTCTGAATATGAGTTTTGTTAATTCCTGTGTGCACATGTTCTGTCACCAGAACTGCTCTTTGTGTACCCAGATTTAGCTTGTGTAAACAATATAAGTACCTGTTAATATATTAGTTTTTGAAAACAAAACAAAACAAAGACAACAAAAAACCCCTAACATACAAAATGTGACTGTCACAGACATAGAGCAAGAGTACTATTTTTTTCTTCTAATTTTTGAGCTTTGATTTTTTTTAGTCTAAGTAGTATACTATTTCTGCCTCAGTTGCCTTCCAAGAATTTTGGTGGATTTCATAAGATGCTAACACTGTGATGATTTACAAGAGTGCCAATGATTTGTTTGGTTTTGTTTTTTCTTTCTTTTCAATTTTTAGTGATTTATAAGCAAAGTATAGTATGATAGCAGTTTGATTTTTCTCAGATTCTTTTACTTTCTTTTAGGAAATAGAAGATGGTTATGCATTCTTTGGCTGAGGTGAAGAGAACTCAGACATAACATTTGAGTCACTATATCTTGGCACTTAATCTCTAGATTCCTTAGATGTTTTTTAAAAAATTTATTTGTTCCCTTTTCCACTCATTTCTTCCTGTGCATTGGGAGCTAGTTTTTTTCTGAGACACATCAGCTTTTCATTAGCTATGTAAATGCTCTTACTTTGTTCATAGACCACAGATCAAACATGAGACTTATGGCTTATTCGCATATAACTGATCCTCATCCATTCCTTTTTCTGGGAGGCCTGTCTCACCTGACTTGGGTAAAATAATCCCATAGGGTACACAATAAAAGAAACTCATAAATTAATAGAAACACTGGTTGTCAAAATTAAAACCATATAGTTACTCATTCGCAGGTGAGCTAAAGCAATTGGAAAATTATCTCATTGACAGCCACTGTATTATCTATTTGCATAATTCTAAGTATAATAATACATGTAGGCTATTATGAATATTAAATGTTAGATATAAACTTTAAAAGAAAACCAAATCAGTCAAACATGAAATCTCTTTCTTCTGAAGCGCTGTCATATTTTTGCTGTTTTTAAAGTGAAGGAGCTAATGAACTAACTACACAACATGTGAAAGTTGGACTTATAAGTGTAATTATTATACTGAGATAATTCTTGCAAATTTAAACAAAGAATTGATTTTTGCTCACCTGGGAAATTGATGTTGAAGGGCGAGTTGCATGAAATCTAACTTGTGATGCCAGCTAATAAGCTACTTGCTTTCTAATATTTAACTGCACCTTGATTTTATTTTAATCCTTACAAAGTTGAATTAGGAAGTGACAATTTTATAAAAGCATAGAATAAACATTAATCATACATTTGTTTTCTTATAGTGAGACTCCATTAATTGGTTTGTAATTAATTGTACCCCCAGATTTGCATGTAGCCATGAATTTTTTAGTGGACTACGTGAGATGTTGTTTAATAAAGATAACAAGTCAGTCTCTGTGCATTTTGGGATCTGTGTGTGTGTGTGTGTGTGTGTGTGTGTATAGATATATATCCATTTCATATTTTGGTATGTTTGCAGCATTTTTTGTTGTATGTCCTTGTAGTTAACATGCTTATCTTCCTCCTGAGTCATTATTGCTTAATCTTTTATATGGAATTTCACTTTATAAAACAAAGCATAATCTGTTGCTAAAAACTCTGGTTATTTGTCTTGACTTGTCATTTCAAGACTGAAAAAAAAGTAGCTGGTGACCAAATTATAAATAATTCCTTTTGTGCTTTTGCCATTTCAGAATAAAACTATAATTTACAATTGTATCATTTATGTCTCCTGCAGTTTCAAAAAAATCAGCAAAGCAAAGATTCTATCTTCTTCCGAGACGGGATTAGGCAAATCGATTTTGTGCTTTCCTATGCTGATGACATAAAGAAAGACGCAGAGTTAAAGGCGGTAAGTGCATTATAAGAGAAGTGGGAATAATAAAAAGAAGCACATTTTATAGTTTCACATGGATATCTGCATTGAATTATGTTGTAAAAGTGAAAAGCCCTTAAGTGTTACTGAAACCTTAAACTGAGCGAGATAACTGTAAAGTAGGCAGCTTAAGAATAGACATGTAAAGTCAATGTTATTTTTTGGATATTTTGCATGCTAACTTCTTTTTCTTCTTCTTCCAAGTATCTGATTCTTTTTATAGCTCACTTTAGTATTAAATGTAACATCCAAAATTTGAGGTATGTGTCTGAATATGATAATTGCCTTTTGTATGATATTTTCATTTTGGAAATGTATGACTAATCTATTCCTCCAGGTATAGCCTTTATATTGTGCTCTATTCCTGATTTGGTTTTATTTGTATTACACATCACTTTATGAGCTTATTTGTTCATGTTTTTACTTGTTTGCTGTCTCCAACACTATAAATTAAGTTTATGAGGCCAAGTACTTTGTCTTGTTTATCGCTATATACCCAAATCCTGGAACAGTGGTTGGATTATAATGGATGCTCAATAAATACTCAGTATTTGAAATCATAAATTAATCCATTTTTATACACACGTTTACTTATATACTTACAAAATAAATGTCATATAAAATAAAAATTAAAAATAAAGATATTATTCCCACAAGACTCTGTACACATACAGGTCTGTCCCTTTTTTCCACCCACTGTCTAGAAAGCCTTCTACCAGGCCTCTGAAATTCATGAACCGTCATCACTTTCGTCTCTTCTCTGAACGTTACTGTAGCAGTCCTCTCAAATGATGGTTATTTTTCTTTACAGAGCATTTCCCTAGAGATGGGGTAAGTGCTGCTTGCCCTCCTTGTATCTTGTTGCTAATGTTCTCCTTCACTTGTCCCTGAAATTCCTGAGCTTTAAATCTCATCAGATTTATTATTATCCTGAATTGTTTTTGTTATTTATCTGTCTCTGCATCTTCTATTCCTTAACAATTTTAGCCCCTGGATCACTGTCAGTCTTTCCAGCAATCATTTTAAATCATTGATAATATCAATTCATACTTAGATGATTATTTTGACACTCTGGCCTCTCTGTTCCTTGAACTCCCTTTTCCAATGATCTTAGCTTCTACTCAGCCATTCACTCACCTAGAACTTGTCATTACTAATAACTGCAAGTATTTATAATTTCATTCTATGTGTACAACTGTCTGATTATACCTCACATCTTTCTGATGCACATTCTTCCTCCTTCCACCTCACCAGGACCATATAAGATGCAATCATCTTACTGATTTTTGCTGCTCTTATTCTCCTGTCACTCTTTATTCAGTTTATGTCTCATGGTCAACAATTGTAATTACTGTGTTACATATCTCATCAAGTCCCTTTCCCCTCTCCCAGTTGTGCTTGACAAAACAACAACTTTAGTTAAACCCAGCCCCACCTACTACATGCCAGCACACATGCAGAAAGGAAAACTTACAATTTACTGACTGACTTTACCTTACATTCGTGCCCATGGACCTTAACCGGGTCCTTATGCTTTGTGGCAATCATACTTTCCTTCCATATTCTATTGCCTCCCACTTTCTTAGATGACTGTTTTATAATGTTTTTTTCTCTCCTCACACCTCCAACACCTCCTCCCATCTTCAAGCTTAGCTGATCACATTTTTCTGCTTCATTGAGAAAACTGAAGCAAGAAGAGAAAACCTATAAATTTCTACTACTACATCTGTCCATCCACCAGGATTTTTGCTTGTGTAAGCTATCTTACTCTGTTACCATAGACCAACTATTTATCCTTCTACCTAAAGGCAACTCCTCCACGTGTGCCCTGCATTCTGTTTCTTCTTGCCTACTATTCAGGAATGCCAAAGATAGCCCTCAGGTTTGGGGGTTCATTACAAAGAATCACAGGACTCAGTTTATAGTCATGCTTATGGAGACATTTTATTACGGTGAAATGATAAAAAGCAAAACCAGCAAGGGAAAAAGCTCATGGGACAAAGTCTGGAGGAAACCAGGAGCAAGCTTGTAAGGATTCTTCTCTCAGTAGAATCACAGGATATACACTTACTTTTTCCAGCAACAATGTATGAAAACACATGTGAAATATCTATTGGGCAAGCCCATTAAAGTGCACTAGGTTTTTATTAGGGACTGGTTACCTTGTCGCCTTCAGCTTAGCACATACCAACATTTCATACTCCCAGAATGAAAGCAGATATTCAGCATAAATAACACTATTTGGAAAAACAGTATAGGCAAAATGAGTCACTCTTATCAGTTCTGGGAGTGGAGGGAACTCTTCAGAAAAGCAAGTCCCAGACACTAGGACCAACCTTTTGAAAGTTGCAGCCAGGCCTTTCTAAGGATAGGAGTTTAATGCCTGCTTTGTTAACTCATTTCTGTATACCTATTTCGGGATATTGCTCCTAAAATTAGTTCCTCTTTCTCCTAAATTATATTTGATATTCTTTACTAGGCCATTTTCTTCAATGAACAAATAGGCTGATAATTTTTCTGTATTAAAAAGTTATGAATAAAAACCTTCTTTTTGTCCCAGTTTTCCTATTAGCTACTATTTCTGTATTTTTTTCTGCTCAATTATATATTAATCCCGTTCTTTTCAAGCCTTCGTCCCAGCCACTCTGCCCATCTCCTTGTATAAAATCCAGTGGTCAAGCCTTAGCCCTCATCTTACTTGACCTATTAGCAATATTTGACACAGTTGATCTTTCCCTTTTCTATTGTGTATGTTCTTCATGTGGCTTCCAGGACTCCACATTATCTTAGTTTTTTTCTTATTTCACTAGTTGCTCCTTCTCAGTCTTTACTGCTCCTAAATCTCTTAGTATTGAAGTGCCTCAGGGCACAGTCCTTAATCCTCACCTTTCCTTAACTTACGCTGATGTATTTGATGATTCTTACTGTTTTAAAATAATATATTTTATGATTTTATATACATTAATCATACAATCCCTGAATTTACTTTTCCAGTCCACATTTCTCTTCCAACTGTGCATAACTAAATGACTATCCTGCATCTCATACCTTCAATAAGGTACTGGCATAACAACAGACACACAGACTAATGAAATAGAATAGACAATCCAGATTTAAATCTATGCATTTAAAACAAGCTCATCTTTGAAAAGGGGGCCAAGTGCATACAATGGAGAAAAGGTAGGCTTTTCAATAGATGATGCTGATAAGACTGGATAATTATATGGAAAAATGATACCAGACGCATAGTTCTTACCATACAAAAGATCAAATCAAAGTGGATTAAAGCTTTGACTGTAAGAACTGAAACTTTGAAACTACTAGAAGAAAACACTGGGGAAATGCTCCAGGATGTTGATCTAGACAGACTTCTTTGGTTAAGACCAGGCAATTAAAGGAAAAATAGACCACTGGGATTATATCAAGCCAAAAACCTTCTGCACAGCAAAGGAAAAGTGCCCATTATTGGATGAATAGATAAAGAAAACGTGACAAATACATATAATGGAATATTTTTCAGCCATTGTAAAAACGAAATATTATCATTTGCAGCCATCAATGGAACTGGAAGCCGTTATGTTAAGTGAAATAAACCAAGCACAGAAAGACAGATGTCATATATTCTCACTCATGTGTGGGAGGTAAAAATGTGGATCTCAAGATAGAGTAGATTGGTGGCTACCAGAAGCCAGGAAAGGGAAGGGGAAGGAGGGAGATAAAGGGAGAAAAACAGTATAAATGTATTTATTACTACTGAACTGTACACTTAAAAATGGTAAAGATGGTAAGTTATATATGTATATTTTAACTTAATAAAAATGTCTTAAAAATATAAAAATACTTTTTTTGTCATCAATACATTGCTTTAATAAAGGCTGGATGGGTGGTTCACACCTGTAATCCCAGTGCTTTGGCAGACTAAGGCGGGAGGATCAGTTGAGGCCAGGAGTTCAAGGCCAGCCTGGGCAGATAATGAGACCCAGTCTCTATAAAAATTTTTTTTTTAAAAGTATCCAAGTATGGCGATACCTGCTTATAGTCCCAGCTACTGAGGAGGCTGGGGAGGATCACTTGAGCCCAGGAGTTTGATGCTATAATGGGCTGTGATCACAACACTGTACTCCAGCCTGGGTGACAGAGCAAGATCCTGTCACTACAAAACAAACAAACAAACAAATGAAAAACTAGGCACCCGAGTGGTTATTTTCAGTAATGACCTATAGTTAAATTTAAGTTTACTTTTTGCTAAGTGAAGCCATTTTGTCCTTCCGGATTAAAAAGTCTTGATGATATATTGGCTTAAAATTCCATTAAATATATAGTTTATTTGAAGAGTATTGATCTTTGTAATAGTGAGTCTTTTCAACTTGGAGCATGTCTCTCTGTTTATAAAGTTTTTTAAATTTACGTTATTCAGTAAAGTTTTGTGCATTTCTTCATATAGAGGCTCTGCGTATTTCCTGGTGATTATTCCTGGATATACTGCATTTTTGTAGTTGTTGCGAATTATAGCACAAGAGAAAAGCAGTACCTGACATTCAGATGGAGCACTTTTATATACAACCATGGGAGAGGCAGAGAGCCATCCAAAGTCACAGCCATTGTATATTGAATCTGTCAATACTGAGCAAATAAAACAAAAGTGTTCTGCATAATTGTGTTGAATTTTTTTTTTTTTTTGGTCATAGGAAAGAAGAAAAGAGTTTGAAAAAAATCTCAGAAAAACAGGTCTTGAGTTGGAAATAGAAGACAAAAGGGTAAATGTAGTTGATAATTTATACCAGACTCTTTAAGTGTTGTTTTATCCTATTCTGGCCTTTGACTGGATAGACTCTGTGTTTGGAGGCAATACAATAGCTCTTTTGGCTACGGATATGTGTACTGGGGTGATAGGGCCTGTAGTCTTACAGGTAAGTAGATGAGTACTGTGAATATGCAGTAATAAATGGACACAGTTTGCATTCAGGATACAAAGAAAAAGAAGATGTGGACTTTTTCTCATAACAGTTTCACTTTGAAGTCTGGCTATAATCTGGTCCCCTAAATAATTAACCAGGCTGTCTTGCAGCATAACCTGCTATTTAAGCGAAGACATTCTTTCTGTTCATGAATATACCAAGTTTTCTTTTTAAACTGATTTTTACTGTTTTTCTAGAATTCCCTTCAAAATTGTTTTTAAAGTCCTATTTAATATCTTACCCTATCTATGAAATTTCTAATAGTTTCAGCCTGGGCAACATAACAAGATCCTGTCTCTACAAAAAATAAAAAATAAAAAATTAGTTGGGCATTGCGCCTGTAGTCCAGCTACTTGAGAGGCTGAAGCAGGAGGATTGCTGGAGCCCAGGAGTTTCATAGTTGTGCCACTGCACTCCAGCCTTGTCAGCAGAGTAAGGCTCTGTCTTTAAAAAAAAAAAAAAAAGAAAACCTAAAGCATTACTCTCCAGTTCTCCCATTTTCAGTGAACTAATAAATTATTATACCATACAATCCGTAATTTTTCCTATGCAATGAACCTTTATTACCTAAAGTTCTTCCTCTTTGTGTAGGCAAAACAAAGAAGTTGGGTAAGAAGAGTAAGTACATTTTACAGTCTATGTGTATCCCTTATATTATAACCTAAGTAAAATTTTGAACTTATTGCTAGTTACTAAAAACTTAAGAAATTGCCTGGAACTACATAGGTTATTGTGGATTTAGAGATGAGTATACATTGACCATGAAATATATTTTTAAAAATATTCTTTCTCTGTTTGTATGTGTCTTTATATGTTTCTTTCTGTCTCTCACATATATATACACATGATATGTATACATATACACATGTTTATGTAACTATAACTATGTTTTGTGAATTTTGTTTTCTCAAAGTTTTGCCTGAAAATTTCAAAAAATTGAAAATACTTTGATGTGTTTGAGATTTTATAAAATATTATTTATTTTATTTAATCAGCTCAATAACAAACTGATCAGTAAGCTTTCTGCTATTTTGCCTTTTTTTTTTTATGCAGGACTCTGAAGATGGAAGAACTTATTTTGTCAAGATCCATGCCCCTTGGGAGGTATTAGTTACCTATGCTGAAGTCTTGGGAATCAAAATGCCTATTAAGGAGAGTGATATTCCCCGACCTAAGCAAACTCCTATGAGCTATGTGCTTGGGCCTGTGAGCCTCCCACCGAGTGTGAAGTATCCCCATCCTGAATACTTTACTGCCCAATTCAGCAGACATCGGCAGGAGCTCTTCCTCATCGAAGATCAGGCAACCTTCTTTCCATCCTCATCAAGAAACAGAATTGTAGGTAGAGAAGACCTTTGGGCACATCCCTTTGAATCCGAGATGTATGCTTGTGTGTGCTTTTATACATGTGCAGATGTCATACCATTTCTGCAAGGTGTTTCTGTATAGGATATAAGCATTTGGTGATATTGAGCAGTTTGAAAGTGTAATTAGACCACATAAACTCATTACCCTCCCTAACTCTCAAACTGTTGTTTAAAAATGAGTGGTTCATGGTATGGGTGTAGTAAAGGAAGAGATGTTATACAGTATTGGAAAAAGCAATTAATTGAGATCTAGAGGACTTTGATTTTGTAAGATCTTTGTAAAATGGTTTTACAGTCTTAGAGTTTGGTTTTATACAGTCAGTGCGTAGTAAAGGAAATATTTATCATTCCAAATGGAAATGAAATGTTTTAATTTCTTTATATATGGATAGAATTTGAGAAACCTCAAAACTTTTTTTCCTTCATTTAAAACTGTTTTCTGCCTTCTAAATAGTATTGTTTTCTCTGCATTTGAAGTCCTAGGATCTTTAAGTTTCCCATTAAAAACTTCTCTCACAAAGAATCATGGTTTTGTGTCACTATTTCTTTGTGCTTAGACAGGAATAATATCCACTTCATAGGTTACCTAGATAATTAAATTAGTTCAGACATAAAAAGCTTTGAGCAGTGCCTGGCACTATTTTCTTAAAACACTCTCATAATAAGCAGAAGCTATTGTTTTTCAGCCCACCAGAATGTCAACAAGCAAAATTCCTTGAGCATCCCTCGAAAAAACTGTTGCCACGGCCTTTGCTCTTGATTTGTCTGCTTTTGCTTTCCCTGAACCACTTCCATCTCTTGGTAGCCATTGCTTTGATTGTGCTTTATCTTCAGGATAGCACTGGCGAAGCCATGTTTCATCCCTGTCATAATTCTTCAAAGAAATTCTTAAGGATCTTGATTCTACTTATTTAAAATTTCCATTGAAAACTGCTTTTGTCTACAGGTGAACTGAGTACAACAATTTTCACACCCATTGATTGGAAAGTTTGCTGAACTATAATTTTCTAGTCAGAATGGTGAAACCTGAACCAGTTGAGATATCTGTGGTGTTGGCCTATTATTTGTGCTGTTCGTCTTTGGTCCTCTTCAATTAGGGCATGAACAAGGTGGATTTTTTTCCTTGCAAATTGATGTGAACGGTCTGAGGCTGTGGGCTTCATCTTTGACATCATCTCATCCCTTCTTAAAATGAGTTATTCATTTATAAACTGTTGATCTCTTTAGGGGGATTGTCTTCATAAACTTTTGGTAAAGCATCAGTGAGGTCACCATTCTTCCCCTCAAGCTTCACCATAAATTTGATATTTGTTCTTGCTTCAATTTTAGCAGAATTTATGTTGCTCTGACAGCGGCCCTTTTCAAACTGATGTGTCCTTCTTAGTCCCTCAAACTAAATCCTGTTCGGACATGTTATAACAAGTTAGTATGAGTTTAATTTTATGCATAAAATTTGAAAACCACACATATCCATTTTTCATGAGTCTTTTGAAGACTCCCTTGTATCCTGAGGAAAAGGAGGTGGGGGACGTCACTTTCCCTTTTGGCACCAGGGAAAATCTACTTCTTTTACATCTATCCTTCCCCCTGCAGTATCTCCCTTTTGTTGTTACTAACAGTTTATGGTAACAAAGACTAGACACACTTCACTTTCTCCAAATTCTCATTCTTCATTTTATAAATGGTTAGCTGAACTGTTTATCCGCATTGATCCATCAGAACAAGAAGTTGACCTTGACTTGACCAAACTTTAATTAAGCTTCTCTTCTCCCTGTAAGAACCTGGACATTAACCTACCCTCAGCTTGAACCAATATTGTCATGTGTAGCAGCCTCTCCTTAGCGTAAAGAAAGATCATCCCTGACACTTGCTTACTTCTCCCTATTAATGAGATCACTTTTCTGCCCGGCCTTTCAGATATTTGCAGATCTCTGAATCTTTCTATTGCAATAGTCCCTCTCCACCTTTTGCAATAACTTTTTTCAAATAATGTCTTTTCAGGCCTAAATTCAGTTTTTTTTTAAATTTTACAATACTATACTTATTATCATAGCTTTATAATACATCTTAATACCTGGTAGTATAAATATTTCCACTTTGTTAACATCCCAAGACAGAGTTCTTACTTTGGTGAATCTTTCCTAAGGAAATAATCCAAAATATGTAAAACAGGTCATATTTATGACATTATTTATAAAAATTAAAACTATCTTGCATAAATTATGATTTCTTTACCAAGATGGGATATTGAGCTGCTCTTAACATGGATGATGAGTTTAGATGATGATGATTCAAGAACTACAACCATTCCAATCAAAGAGTCTTGGAATGGTAAAATGTAAAAGAAAGGAAAGGTTGGGGACTATGTATAAAACAGTGCTGAATAAAAACAAATTTAGCAATTAGAAATACAGAAATTTTGAAGAGTTGCTGGAAGATAAAAAGCAGATGAGATTGAATTCACAGAAATACAAGAACAGAGGACACCAAAGCCCAATTATATTCAGGATAAAACTGATAGAAATATGTAAGTCATTGCAAAGTGGCTGTAGAGATAGGATCCCCTTGGCTAATAAATTCAGATATCAGGTAAAAGGCCTTGTAAAAATAATTAATTGAAGAAGTATTCAAGACAGCTTGGATAAATATCAATTCTACTCCATATTCCCCCAATTGAACTGTCAGTAGTGACATTAGTCTCCTACTTGAAGCCCTAATTATAGTAGAAATTCTGGCACAAAGAACTAAAGAGGAGGTTTGGACAGGAGAAACAATAAATTATGGTCCGTTCACCCCATCAAAGGAATGGGGAGCTCTCAGACTCAGAAGCTAAAATATCTGCAAACTCCATATAATCCCACACTCTACATATTCCAGACAACCAAGAGAAGCTTCCTTCTATAATTAGAGCCTGTATCTACATTCAAAGTAGACATTTTTAAATTGTGATTGAAAGGAATGTGGAAAGCATACATTCTGAAATGTGATAGTGTCTTTTTGTACTTACCTTGTAGGTGTACTATATTCTCTCAAGATGTCCTTTTGGCATAGAAGATGGGAAGAAAAGGTTTGGGATTGAAAGGCTGCTAAACTCTAACACTTATTCATCTGCCTATCCACTCCACGATGTATGTATGGGTTTGATTGTGAAATTCTGAGCTTATTTTCCTCCTGCCATGTTCATTACTGGGAGAGAGAATCTTCCTTTACTTCAAATTGCTTAGTTTTCTCTCCTGGTGGGAAAATCCCCAAAGACTTCCTGGTTCCAAGCTGAGAGCTTTACCAGCTATGCCGAGATATGTACTAAATGTGTCTTTGAAGGTTCAAATGGACACGTATTTTAAAAACTTTTACATTTGCAAATGACTTTTTATTAGAACCCATTCTGAAAATAGCAGTCACATTAAAAGAACATTTTAGAACATAATATTTGGAAATTTCTATCTGAGTCCATTAGTTCTTTTCTCATTTATAAAGTTTTGAAGCTGTAAGGAATTTAAATTACATGCATTCACATATTCATTCATCAAATACATGATTGGCTTCAATTATATGTAAAGCATTCTGTTAGCCATTATTGGAACACAACCATGAATCCAAGCTCATAGTCTAGGACTCTCCTAGAAATAAAGCATGTGTATAATTGCAATATAAACTAAAGCATAAGAATGCTTCAGATGTTATGACAACTGATATTCACAAGAATTTTTTTAGGGGGCTGGCAAATCATTGTACGAAAACATTGAGTTTATAAGTTTAATAGAGAAGTGACATTTTACGTGATTCGCCTGTTGAACCAAACCTGAAAATTTGGTCTTGGAACCAGTACTCAGCCTAATTTCTTCGCTAATACAATAATTTTGTATTTTTAGTAGAGACGGAGTTTTGCTATGTTGGCCAGGCTGGAATTGAACTCCTGACCTCAGATGATGGAAACTTTTTGATGGAAACTTTCTCATTTGAATAGCCAGTGTTTAAATTTCACCACCTATTGACAGTAGAAATCCTTTGGCTCAATGTGTATATATTCTACTTTGAGATCATCCCTTGGACATCTATTTTTATTGTTTCTTTTGTTACAGTTTTACTCTTCCATACTTAAAAAGACTTTTTGATGATGTATTCTCTTTGCAAGAAATATAGTTCTCAGTAATAGAAGAAACAAATATTTTAATTGAAATAAGTGGCAGCTAAATAATTCCCCATTTTTTGAACAGTGTTGCTGTAATAGTTCCCAAAAGCCCAAAGCCAAGCTCTTCCTTTTCTAGGACTTTGTCTGTTGTGCTAGTTTTCCTCTGTTAATATTTAATTTTTGTTTTGTTTACTTTTGTTTTTTGAGATGGCGTCTTGCTCTGTCCCCCAGGCTGGTGCGCAGTAGTGCAATCTTGGCTCACTGTAGCCTCCGTCTCCTGGGTTCAAGCAATTCTCCTTCCTCAGCCTCCTGAGTAGTTGGGATTACAGGCACATACCACCATGCCTGGCTAATTTTTGTACTTTTCATAGACAAAGGGTTTTGCTATGTTGGCAGGCTGTAATTGAACTCCTGACTTCAGATGATATGCCCGCCTCAGCCTCCCAAAGTGTTGAGATTACAGGCATGAGCCACCACAACTGGCCAATATGCAATATTTATTCAGTACTATGAGAATTTACTCTAGGTCAGTTCAACACTGATTAGTTTTTTTTTTTTCTTTATGTGTTTCCTGTAAAAGTAAAGGAAATTTTCCAAAATGAGTCACCATTTTCAACAGGAGTGTCAATTTAGTAACTTAAGTATTAGAAAAAACCAACAGCCTCTTCTTTTATTCAACAACCCTTGAACACATATATAGTACCTAATCACTGAGGATTGGTTCCAGAACCAATCCCCTGACCCTTGAATACCAAAATTCCAGCATGATCAAGTTTATTATATAAAATGTAGTAGTATTTGCATATAGCCTACACACATTCTTCAACATGCTTAAATTCATCTCTAGATTGTTTATAATACCCAATGCAATATAAATGTAAATAGTTGTTATGCTGTGTGTTTTTAAGTTTTTTTTTTACTGCTGTTTAAAAATATTTACAATCTTCTGTTGGATAGATTTGTGGATGCAGAACCTGCAGATACAGAGGGCCCACTGTCACATTTTTTTTTTTCCTGGAGCAAAGAAACTCTTAGGAGATTATAGATTCTAAACAATAACATGGACATTTGGTAAAGCAGAGATCTAAAGTAGGTTAATAAACACTTTGCACTGCATTCTGTGCCAATCTTTCTTCACAAAAGGGCTCATTCTTTTTTCTAGAGATTTTGAATTTTTTTTTCAATTAATTTTTAGGGCGTTAATTCTATCCTTACAATGCCATATCATAAAGCCAAACTAATGTCTTCAGTCATCACCAGTTTTAAACTATACATGTAGCTTTTCAGTAGAGTCATATAGGCTCATTGGAAATGCAATGTCACTGAGCTGTCACTAGAGATAGCTATAACTTACTGTTGATTTTACCTTTTAATCTTTCTTTTCTTCTGAATGCAACATTAGGTACTGGATTTTCCCTTATGTGCTTTACAGAATCATTTTTCAAAATACCCACATAGGCTGCTTTTTTGGTTGTTTAATTTCTTAAGATTCAGTTGAATTACCTACAGAAGAAGAAAAAAGTTGGAATCTTGGTGATGCAAAATTTAACGCCTTATCATATATATTTTCACATGTGCTAAATTTTAAACTGGATATCTATTCAGTGCTGCCTTCAGCAGTTCATTTGTCTACGGTAAAAACAGAATGTCTTAAACAGCCACGGTGTACACAATACTTTGCTAGGCCATGAAAACATATAAATAATATTAGTCGGTATCTAACAATGGGAGAAGAGCTTATGCATGAAGCAATACTGAGCCCCTTAAATGCCAAAGTTTTTTGTAATATTTTAAGTTCTTTGGCAAGTGGCTATAAGAAAGGACAGAACAGGAGTGTCTTCCCGTAATAGCAGTATGACCTTGGATTCATTGCTTAACGTTCCTTGAGGTTTACTTTTTTCATCTATAAAAAAAGCGTTAGCCCATTTCTAAAGTCCTATCTAGTTATATAGTGATATGGCTCTCTGGGCCTGGAATATTGTATTAGGATTTGAGCAGAGAAGAAAGGGCATTCCACGTGAAAGAATAGCTTGAGTAAAGCCAAAGTCTTACACTTTTACTTGTATTTTGAGATATCTTTGTGTGATAATTTCATAAATAAATATTATTATAGTTTGTGAAATAATTTCATATCAATTGAATATGAAATCTAAAAGTAAAAGAAAACATACCCTTGTTTACTAACCTTCTTAGAACAGCAGTGTTTATTTACTTCACCTTTGTCTTTTGCTTCATCTTTTATGTACCCTCCTCTTGAATATCTGCAGGGTCAATATTGGAAGCCATCAGAACCTCCCAATCCCACCAATGAAAGATACATACTTCACCAGAATTGGGCTCGATTTTCCTATTTCTACAAGGAGCAGCCATTAGACTTGATTAAGTAAGTTTCATACATAGGATCAGACCAATTAAAACTTGATAATGTGATTTTTATTCACAATGGCATAATATTCTGTTTTATTTAACTACTATTTTCACCCACTACATTTCACAACTTCTTGGTTTCATATCTACACTATCAATTAGCAATTCATTTAGGAAAATGTTGTTGCTAAATTGATGAAATACAACAGAGATCATATAGTGGTTAAGAGGTTAGACCTTAGCATTTAACTAGGCTGAATTCTAATCCAAGTTCTGCCTCTTGAAAGTTATATGAATTTGGTCAAGTTACTTAACCATTATGAAAATAGGAATAACAATATTACTACTTTTTAGCATGGTAGTTATAGTATCTATACTATCTGTAAAATGGGAATAGTGATATTACTACTTTTTAGCATAGGGACTAGCACTTAGTGTTTAGTACATATTAGTTTTTGTTTCTCCTGAAGTCCAGAAATTTGGAACATAAGACAAAGGTTGTGTATTGATGTTTGTGTGTATGCTTTCAGTGAGCTGTGACGACATTTGTTTTATCACCTCAATCCTTTAGACAGTTTCATTAGCTAAGCAAGAAGACTATGGTTGCAGGTTATTGCTTTAAAGCATAGCAATACTACAAGCATACAGGATATTAGGAGACTTCTATGATTTTATTCAATGAGCTATTAGATTAGAGATATCTTGCTACTATAGGCAGTGTTTTTTACTTGGTGATTTATACTTGCATTGCTATGCTTACACAGCATCACAGTATCTGTTTCATGAGACTGATTTGAATGGATCCATCCAAATCAATTGAAATGTTATCTCAACAGTATGTTTAAGTGAAACTAGAGGACACATTTTGAAAAATAAATGTCAGTTAGTCAGTTTATAAACTGGGGCTTTTGATAAATCATGCTAACTCCTTCTTGAATGGTTATTTTAACTGTTTTGAATAATAATCATTTAATACTTTAAGTTATAAAACTAAAATATTTATCAAAAACATTTCAAATAATTAGGAGATTAACAAAGTTTTAAGTGAAATTCTACCTTCATCAAACTCCACAAAAATAACTAGACTTGATTTGGATAATATTGATTTAGTCCTATTTTTGTTTTTATGTATAAAAAAGCACAGAAACATTTTTTTTTTTCTGAGAGCAATGGCATCTTTCTCTTCTCTTTCATGCTAAGATTTTTCTGTATTCACTAAATAGTATATTACTGATATCCTTCTATGAATACACAAAGATCTGTCTGATACTATTTAGTGGAACACAGAATACCTTATTATAAATTTTTCATAATTCATTTATTGGTTTTTCTATTGAAAAACATTAGGCTGTCCCAATTTTTTAATATAATTTCAACTTTTTAATTTTAGATTCGGGGGTATACATGCATGTTTTTTATGTGGATATATTGCATGATGCTAATGTTTGGGTTACAGATCCTGCCACCCGAGTAGTGAGCATAGTAACAAATAGGGAGTTTTTTAACCCACACCCCTCTCCCATACTACCTCCTCTAGTAGTCACCAGTGTATATCGTAGTCATCCTTATGTCTATGTGTATTCAATATTTAGCTCCTACTTACAAGGGGGAACATGCAACATTTGGTTTTCTGTTCTCTTATTAATTTGCTTAGGATAATGGCCTCCAGCTGCATGCATGTTGTTGCAAAGGACATAATTTTATTCTTTTTGACAGTTGTGTAGCATTCCTTGGTTTATATATACCACATTTTATTTATTTACTCCACCATTAAAGGGCACCTAGGTTGATACCATGTCTTTGCTATTGTGAATAGTGCTGCGATGGACGTATGGGTGCATGTGTCTTTTTGGTAGAACAATTTTTATTGCTTTGAGTATATACCCAGTAATGAGATTGTTGGGTCAAATGATAGCTCTGTTTTAAGCTCTTTGCAGAAGCTCCAAACTGTTTTCCACAGTGGCTGAATTAATTTTCATTCACATCAACAGTGTATAAATGTTCTCTTTTCTCCACAATCTCACCAACATCTGATATTTCTTGACTTTTTAATAATAGTCATTCTGACTGGTATGAGATGGTATCTAATTGCAGTTTTGATTTGCATTTCTCTGGATTAGTGATGATGAGCATTTTTTATATGTTTGTTGGCTGCTTGTACATCTTTTGAGAAGTGTCTGTTCATGTCTTTTGTCAATTTTTTAATGTGGTTATTTGGATATTGCTTGTTGATTTGTTCAAGTTCCTCATAGATTCTGGATATTAGACCTTTGTTGGATGTGTAGTTTGTGAATGTTTTGTCCTATACTATAGATGGTTTACTCTATTGATAGTTTCTTTTGTTGTGCAGAAGCTCTTCAGTTTAATTAGGTCCCACTTGTCAATTTTTTGTTGTTGTTGCACTTACTTTTGGTGACTTAGCCAAAAATTATTTACCCAGGCCAATGAAGAGAAAGATATTTATTAGGTTTTCTTCTAGAATTTTTATAGTTGAGGTCTTACATTTAAAACTCTATTCCATCTTGAGTTATTTTTCTACATGGTGAAAGATAAGGGTCCAAGTTTTATTATTCTGTGTATTGCTAGTCAGTTATCCCAGTACCATTTATTGAATACAGAATCCATTCCCCATTGCTTGTTTTTGCCAGCTTTGTTGAAGACCAGATGGTAGGAGGTGTGCAGCTTCATTTCCGGTTTCTCTGTTTAGTTCTATTGGTCTATGTGTCTGCTTCTCTACCAGTACCACACTATTTTGCTTACTGCAGCCTTATAGCATAGTTTGAAGCCAGGTAGTGTGACGCTTCCAGCTGTGTTCTTTTTGGTTAGGATTGCTTTGGCTATTTGGCCATTTTTATGGTTCTATGTTAATGTTAGAATAGCTTTTTCTAACTCTGTGAAAAATGTCATTGGTAGTTTGATAGGAATAACATTGAATTTGTAAATTGCTTTGGGCAGTATGGCCATTTTAATTATACTGATTCTTCTAATCCATGAGCAAGGAATGTTGTTTTGTTTATTTGTGTCATCTCTGATTTCTTTCATCAGTGTTTTGTAGTTTTCCTTGTAGAGATCTTTTACCTCCTGGATTAGCTGTATTCCTAGATATTTCATTTTCGTGGCTATTGAAAATGGAATTGTGTTCTTGATTTGACTTTTCAGCTTGAACATTATTGACAGATAGAAATGCTACTCACTTTTGTTCATTGCTTTTGGGTCCTGAAACTACTGAAGTCTCTTATCTGTCATTTATGAAGTCTAGGAGACTTTTGGTGGAGTCTTTAGGGCTTTCTAGGTATAGAATCATTTGTCAACAAAAAGAGATAGCTTTTCTTCTTCTTTTCCTATTTGGATGCCTTTTATTTTTTTCTCTTGTCTGATTCCTCTGGCTAGGACTTAAGTACTATGTTGAATAGGAGTGACAACAGTGGACATCTTTGTTTTATTTCATTTCTCAATTCCAGCTTTTGCCCATTCAGTATGATTTTGGTTGTGGGTTTATCATAGATGGCTCTTATTATTTTGAGGTATGTTCATTCAATACCGAGACTATTGAGGGTCTTTTTTATCATGAATGGAAAGGGATGCTGAATTTTATCAAAAGCTTTTTCTGCGTTTATTGAGATGATCATATGTTAATCGTTTTTCCTCATAATTCTATTTATGTGGTGAGTCACATTTACTTATCTGCACTTGTTGAATCAGGCTTGTATCTCAGGAATAATGCCAGTTTGATAGTGATGTATTAACTTTTTGATGTGCTCCTGGATTTGGTTTACTAGTATTTTGTTGACAACTTTTGTATCTATATTCATCAGGGATATTGGCCTGACATTGTCTCTTTTTGGTTGTTGTGTCTCTATCAGATTTTGGTATCAGGCTAGTGCTGGTTTCATAGAATGAATTATAGAGAAGCCTTTCCTTTTTGAGTTTTTGGAATAGTTTCAGCAGGGTTGTTACCAGTTCTTCTTTGTATGTCTGCTGGTATTTGGGTGTGACTTCATCTGGTCTAGGGAATTTTTTGGTTGGTAGATTTTTAAATTAATGATTAAATTTCAAAACTTATAATGGTCTGTTCGGGTTTTTACTTTCTTCCTAGTTTAATCTTGGGAGCTTTTGTGTTTCCAGGAATTTATTCATTTCCTCAAGATTTTCTAATTTATGTGAATAGAATTTTTCATAACAGTATTGGAGGATTTTTGATTTCTATAGGATTAGTTATAATATCATCATTGTCATTTCTCATTAGACTTATTTGGATCTTTTTTTCTTTGTTAATATAGCTAGTGATATATCTTGTTTATTCTTTTGAGGAACCAATTCTTGGTTTCATTGATCTTGTGTATAGATTTTTACGTCTCAACTTAGTTCGATTTTTCTATAATTTTAGTTGTTTCTTCTGCTAGCTTTGGAGTTGGTTTGTTCTTATTCTCTAGTCCCTCTGGGTGGAATTTTAGATTGTTATTTTGAAGTCTTTCTTACTACTTAATTGAGGCATATTAGAGCTGTAAACTTTCCTCTTAGCACTGCATTAACAGCATCCCAAAGATTTTGGTAAGTTGGATCTTATTTTTATTAATTTCAAAGGATTGTTTTATTTGTGCCTTAATTTGGTTTTATACTCAGGAGTTATTCAGGAGCAAGTTGTTCAATTTCCATGTGTTGGTACAGATTTGAGATATGTTGGTATTGATTTCTATTTTTAAAGCGCTGTGGTCTGAGTGTGTGCTTGATATGATTTTGTCTTTTTTAATTTATTGAGATTTGCTTTATGACTAAACATGTGATCTCTGAGAAGATGAGAATATATATTATGTGACTGGTTAGTGCTCTGTAGATGCCTATTAGGTCCAGTTGGTCCAGTGTTGAGTTTAATCCAGAATTATTTTGCTAGTTTTCTGCATCAGTGATCTGTCCAATGCTGTCAGTGGGATGCTGAAGTCTCCCACTACTATTATGTGGCTCTCTAAGTGTTTTTATAGGTTAAGAAGGGCTTGTTTTATAAACATGGGTGCTCCA